GCTTACCATTCCCTCACGGTTTTGTTTTTGGGAACTCACGAGCAACTTACCAGTGGGTCACCGATCATGGGATTGCTCTAGCCCCCTTCTCACTTAATTCGGAGTTCCTACGGAACCCGAAGCCAGTGAGCTCCCTAAAGGCCTCGTGCTAGGTAGGGATGGGAATATACATATAAGGATCACTCCCCTGGGCGATGTGGGATGTCACATATATACACACACCATTAGAACTTGATGGGATACGAATTCTCCGAAACTAATTTCAACGATCCCAACCTTCAAACTTGTTTGTATATGCTTTGAGATCACGTCAGCAAAAAATCGCAAAAAACAAACATTCAAAGATCAAGTAACGGGACAAAGTTTTTCGACGGTTATAAACGAAAAATCACGATTTAACGGTTATTTTAACTTCAATTTTGATGATTTTTTATAGCTACACTCCTTGACCCCCTATATGAATACAATGAATGAATTCGATCTTCAATTTAAAATATTTACACAAGTGGATACCATAAAATCTTATGTTATACTTGATGAAAGTATAAATAAACTATAAGTGTTAGTTAATCTATTGTTTTTATGGGATACGAATTCTCTTAAACTAATTTCAACGATCCCAACTGTCAAACTTGTTTGTATATGCTTTGAGATCACATCAGCAAAAAATCATAAAAAACAAACATTCAGAGATCAAGTAACGGGACAAAGCTTCTCAACGGTTATAAACGAAAAATCACGATTTAACGGTTATTTTAATTCCGATTTTGATGATTTTTTACAGCTACACTCCTTGACCCTTTATGAATACAATGAATGAATTCGTCTTCAATTTAAAATATTTACACAAGTGTATACCACAAAATCTTATGTTATACTTAATGAAAGTATAAATAAACTCTAAGTGTTAGTCAATCTATCGTTTTGATGGGATACGAATTCTCCAAAACTAATTTTAACTATCCAAACCATCAAACTTGTTTGTATATGCTCGGAGATCACATTAGCAAAAAATCACAAAAAACAGCAAAAAATCACAAAAAATAAACATTCAGAGATCAAGTAACGGGACAAAGCTTTTCGACGGTTATAAACAAAAAATCACGATTTAACAGTTATTTTAACTCCGATTTTGATGATTTTTTACAACTACACTCCTTGACCCTATATGAATACAATGAATGAATTCAATCTTCAATTTAAAATATTTACACAAGCGGATACCACAAAACTTTATGTTATACTTAATGAAAATATAAATAAACTCTTAAGTGTTAGTCAATCTATCGTTTTGATGGGATACGAATTCTCCAAAACTAGTTTCAACAATCCAAACCGTCAAACTTGTTTGTATATGCTTGGAGATCACATCAGCAAAAAATCACAAAAAATAAACATTCAGAAATCAAGTAACGGGACAAAGCTTTTTGACGGTTATAAACGAAAAATCACGATTTAACGGTTATTTTAACTCCGATTTTGATGATTTTTAATAGCTACACTCCTTGACCCTATATGAATATAATGAATGAATTCGATCTTCAATTTAAAATATTTAAACAAGTGAACACTACAAAATCTTATGTTCTACTTAATAAAAGTATAAATAAACTCTAAGTGTTAGTCAATCTATCGTTTTGATGGGATACGAACTCTCCAAAACTAATTTCAACTATCCAAACCATCAAACTTGTTTCTATATGCTTGGAGATCACATCAACAAAAAATCACAAAAAACAAACATTCAGAGATCAAGTAATGGGACAAAGCTTTTCGACAGTTATAAATGAAAAATCACGATTTAACGGTTATTTTAACTCTGATTTTGATGATTTTTTACAGCTACACTCCTTGACCCTATATGAATACAATGAATGAATTCGATCTTCAATTTAAAATATTTAAACAAGTGAATACCACAAAATCTTATGTTATACTTAATGAAAGTATAAATAAACTCTAAGTGTTAGTCAATCTATCGTTTTGATAAGATACAAATTCTCCAAAACTAATTTCAATGATCCAAACCGTCAAACTTGTTTGTATATGCTTGGAGATCACATCAGCAAAAAAATCACAAAAAACAAACATTTAGAGATCAAGTAACGGGACAAAACTTTTCGACGGTTATAAACGAAAAATCACGATTTAATGGTTATTTTAATATGTTTTTATATGGTATAGTATTATTATTTTATTTCTTTTCATAATTATTTTGGTAAACTTCTCATAATTTGAATGATTTTTAATGTTTGGTTTTTCTATACTTTATGCAGAAGAGAGTTCTGACGTGGAAAACTTTACTGAAAACATCTTCAACATAACTCTTGAAGGCAATAGATCAAGCCAAAGTTCCAATACAATTTCATGATGATCGATTTAATTGAAGATTTTGTAGATGGAGGTGCAAACTTTTGAGAAAGACTTACAATCTTGAAAACAAAAACTCTTTCATTTTGCATATCCTTGCACATTTAATATTTGTAATAGATTAGTAGTGTATGTATTACATTTTTATTTGGCTCTTATTTTCGAGTGTAGATATAGTACTTAAACGACAAATGTTCTAATGTTTTAAAGTAATATTTATGTGACAATGTGTGGTATGTGCAAATTTAAAAAAATATTTTTTTTTTCTGAACGGGTCATAACGGGTCGGGTCACTTTAAGGACCCGTTAAGATAACGAGTGTAACACGACATGACCCGTTAAGATAACAGGTGTTACACGAAAATGACACAAACACGACAGACACGACCCGTTTACTAGGCCTAGTTGTGTAGCTGTTTTAGGCTCTTCATGTCTTATGTAACCAATAAAAAAAGATAGATAGTTTGACATTTTGATCTATGCACATATACGGCGACGATCGATTCTTCACAAGGCAAGCAAAGCAGAAAATTGGAGGAAGGGGAATAATATCTTTTGATTTACTCTCTTTCTTGTTTGGAAGAAAATTGCTCTAAAGGTTTACTTAATCCCCTACTTAAGATGGAATTAAATAATTCTATAAGAAGTTTGACTCCATCTCCCAGAAGACATTTACTGCAAGTCATAACTCAGAATCTAATGTAGTCAAAGAACCCATTTTTTTGCAGACCTACTCAACTAGAACTCCTACACCTCCTGCCCTTTTCTACATGCAGCCAAGCAGGTGTGGTGGCATTTGTGGAGCCAAAAATGATACGTGAATTTTTTCTCGAATAAGAGAAGAATGCCCTTATCAAATGGGCAAGCCCACAACTATTCCTATGCGCAATTCAATGTCCCTATAGGCGTGTGGAATGGTCAACAACATCACCAAGCTCCCTTGCTTGTGGTATGGAGCAAAAGTCAAAGGCATTAAAGATAGGATTAATCACCAAATCCTATCTTTAATACATTACTGATTAAAGATCAACTCAAACAAGTAAACAACCCTCATCATCATTAATCAAGGATACTTACCTGATAATCCTAAGATATTATCTCCTAATTAATATCTTCAAGATAATTCTTTCCTCATCCATCATACGGATGACTCGCCTTGGTCAATGTGGGAAGCCGACACGTGTAGGGCACAACCCTACCTTGGTCGGCCACAACCCTACCTTGGTCGGCCACATCCCTATAAATACCTCATCTCCACCATTTTTTTATAAGCTTTTGCTACGCAATTAAGCCTAAACACTCGCTTTTTTCAAAGAAATTGACTTAAGCATCAAAGATCCATTCACCAAAACCACCCCCCACCCCACATTGTGGTCGCGTGAAGCTTTGACCTTGATTAAAGGTGTTATTCTGTTTTGTATGTATAATTTCGTGAAGACCGAAGATGGTAGAATTTTGCTACTACTGTAGGGTTTCTTTGCTGAATGAGTGTTGTTCATCAGAAAGTGATGTAAGATTTTGTCCTCATTTGCGTTATCTTTTCATGTGGTTGAATGTAGTTGTAGTTGAAATTTTGTATTATTTTTTATTGTGTTTTTAATCATGGAAATGTATTCCAAGTTGATGACACTCTTCGTTTTATTTGATTAATAGAATGTATCTCTTAAAATAAATCCTTTAAGAAGAACTGCTTTTTTGTTAAAATAATTAACATAATTGAAGAATAATTCATAGGTGCAAAGGTAAGTGGCTGCTATAGCAAATGGCCATTTGTCGTCAAGCTTCTTTCTAAAGAGTTGGTTTATTTTATTTTCTAGATGCACTGCAAACATCAACATTCATTCATGCACTTCGAAATACAAATTTACAATATTCATTAATGCGCGTACTCCAATTTTTATCAATTGGTATCTTAAATATTTTAAACTTTTTTATTAATAAACCAACCAACACAACCAATTTCAAGACAAACAAAACGAATAAAATACAACTGAAACATTCCAAGCATGTGATCGATTGAAAAGAAAAACCAGTGAGGTTTCATAGGAATAGATTAGCCACCTCAATATAATAATATATATGTGTTACGACGCAAAGTTGAAAAGCCTTTCTCCATCTATATATTTAGCAAACCTAACAAGTCACAGCATCAAAAGCCATTCAGATTTACAAATCAAAGTCGTCACCATCAACTCTTTAGAAAAAAAAGCATTATCCCTTGCTATCTGAACTCAGAAAAATGTCAACAGAAACCAGCTCATGTTCCAACCGGGCTCTCTTGGAATCAATTCGTCAGTACTTGTTAGACGATGATTTTGAAACCCAGGTAACTGTTGGAACCCCCAGTCCCACATCGGACAGAGGGAGAAGAGAAGAGTGCTTTAAATAGAAATACCCCTCTCTAACTAACATCGAGGCCTTTTGTGATAAAACCCCACACCTGAGGATTGTGCAGGTGGTTAAGTGGGGACAATATCGGTGTTGTTGGAGTGGGCCCTCGGCCCGTCGACCTGAAAATTTCTACTGTAACATTTTTGGTCAATGTTGCTGAGGACTCACAAAGTAGCTGTCGAGGTACCTCAAACCCTAGCAATAGTATTCCTTTTGATGTTGAGGGTTTGGGTGCCACAATGGGAGTGAACCACGATTTGAAGACATCAAAAATACTAGAGGGGGCGGCGCATGAGCAGCACGCACCACAGAAAGGTCAGCATTTTAGGGGCGTGAGGCGGCGCCCTTGGGGGAAGTATGCGGCGGAGATAAGGGATCCTATGAAGAACGGGGCGAGAGTGTGGCTCGGAACCTATGAGACCGCTGCGGATGCAGGCTTGGCTTACGACCGAGCTGCTTTTAAAATGCGTGGCTCCAAGGCCAAGCTTAATTTTCCTCACTTAATTGGGACGCATGGTTTAGAGCCGGGTCGTGTGGCCCCTAAGTGTGGCTTATCGGAGCCATCATCTACGCCAGCAAGCTCATCAGATGAAGGCGGTTCTCCGATGCTTAAGCTGAGAAGGAGTGGAGTTGGCTTGGCGGCTAAAGCCCCACAGTTGGAAGAAGCAGCCGAACAGTTTCAAGTATTCCAACTGGATATATCAGCACTTGCTGCACCTGGCAGCCAAATTTTGGTTGAGGAGTTGAACGATCTTTCGGTAGCTGTGAGACAATAGAAGTAACTTTAGCCAAACATAATTGACCATATTTCATCGTGTATAACTCTTGGTAAATGATTGATACACATTTTTTGTGTACCTGCACATTACCATTTAATCATGATCTTTGTTTTTGTTTATCCAATTTAACAAATACAAATACAAAAAAGTGTCTAAGGAATCGCTTGAAATAGCTTTTTTGAGAAGCACTTATGCTCAGAAGCACTTTCAGAGCAATTCCAGCGTGGGAACCCCCAATAGACTATGCTATCCACCCAGTGAATAGTAACCGCCCTTAATGAATAGTAACCGCTTTTTGCATCTCCACCATTACACTTCAATAGCCCTGGCACTAGGCAATAAAATATTAGTATTTTTTTATTTATAAAATAATACAAAATAATTGTATTTGTAATTTTGGATAAGATTTTTAATCGTTCTTGTTGTGCCACGTGTCATTATCCGAAAAGTTATAAATAATACAAAATAATTTTATTTGTAATTTCGGATAAGATTTTTAATCGTTCTTGTTGCGCCACGTTTTATAAAATCCGAAAAGACAATTATTGGTGATGGATTTCTGATAAGATTTTTAATCGTAGTCGTTGCGCCACGTGTCATTATCCGAAAATACAATTATTGGTGGTGAATTTCCGATAAGATTATTAACCAATCACATAGCGTCACGTGTCATAATCTGTTTACAATCTTTGAGTATAGATTTCTATCAGATTTTTAACAAATGACGACATGCCACGTGACATTATCTACAACCTAATGCTTTCTGAATCCTCCATATAATCCACCATCCATTGTCACAAATCTCACACCAATTTTCTCAAGATCTCTATCATTATTCATAGTTTATGCTTCCTTCTTCACCAAAATCTCTATCATGATTCATAGTTTCTGCATCTCATTACCCGTAAGTGAATTATGAGTAACTTCAACCCAGCTAGTACACAATGCAACATCTTCAAGAAGCGTCCAATTCGTACCTGCATCAATAGTCATTTTGTTGAAAAAAATTGAATTGAAACTTTGAGAGAAAGATAGGAATGTGGTTCAAATTAGTTGAGAAAATATGAAATTGTGGTGTAAGGTAGATGACAATGGGAAGATATTTATAGAAAAGTAAAAACAATTTCGGATTCTTATTCATTTTTTTTACAATTTTTTAAATTTTTTATTCAACTAATTAATCTCTACCGTTGGATTTAAAAAAAATTTTGAATTCCAACACTTCAGATTGTGCCACGTGGCACAACAGTAACATTTCTGAATTTTAAAACTATTTTTTTTTTATAAAGGAGAATAAGCTTTTTTTTATTTTTTTTTACCTTTGCAAATCTGACGGTCCATATTTTCTTGCCGTTGAGATCCAACAGACCATAGGAAGCCACGTAGCTTCCCAAAGGTAACAATTTGAAATTGTGTCGCAGGCCCCATTCATTGAAAACATGTCGGGTGACGCACCACCACGCGGGTGTGCAGTGCACGCGCTTGATAGAAAAAAATAAGAAAAGGGGATAACGCCTGGCTGACGTCAGCCTTGCGTCAAATAGCCTTCGAGCTCACGGGTTGGCAATTCGTGACAGGCTTGGTGCCCGGGCCTACCCTGTCCCTTGGGCTCCCACACGCTGGAGTCAATAGGTCGGGTTCTCGGGCCCTGTTTGCTGGCCTATCCCCTGAGCTTCAACCAACATTGGAAGTGCTCTCAGTACAAGTCAGGACCAGCCCTGGTCCAATACGAGCAGGTCAATCATCCGAGGCCTGAAAAATCAAGGGCACCAAAACATCAGGGCGGTATATTTATATATACTTTAATAAAAGTATAAATTTATAAAATTTGGTCAAATGATCAAGAAGTTTAACAAGGAGTGGTTTTGCCTTCTTAAAATTAAAGAGAAGGTTACAGGTTCAAAACCCTATGTATGTTTTTTTTACTTTCCAGTTTTTATGAATTTTTTTCATAAAAGTATAAATTTACAAAATTTGGTCAAATGAATAAGAAGTTTTACAAAAAATGTTGGTTTTGCTATTTAAAATTAATGAGGAGGTCTTGGGTTTGAAATGCTATGTGTGTTTTTTTTCTTTCCAATTTTTACAAATTTATGTTTCGTTGTTATTTTTTTTTTACCCCCTATTTGATAATAATCACTTGTTGGTAGCTACGTAGGTTGCAATTTAAGACATTCATTCCAATTCAAGTCTAACCTTCAACAAAGAATAATGCTAGGTAGACCAAATTTGTAAATCATATGACTTGTCACCAATAGAAAATAAGCACGATAATCAACACTCAAGTAATAACTTATGTATCAATGGTATTAGATAAAGTTGGTTATGACTTGTGTATCAATAGTGTCGTACTCCATAATTATAAATGGCAATCCATATGGCTACATCCACCCACCATGTGGTTTACAATAAGGAGATCCACTATCACCGTATCTCTTTATTCTCTATGACGAGGGGTTGTCGGCGTTGATTGCCCAGCATGAGCACCAAGGTACCATCAGGGGTGTCCAAATCTACTCTGCGGCTCCATCAGTAAACCATTTACTCTTCGCCGATGATAGTCTTTTATTATGTCGTGCTCCTGAGACAGAGTGTTGCCATGTACTGAAAATTCACGAGTTGTATGAGAATGCATCAGGGCAAAAGATTAATCTTGAGAAAAGCAAAATTTTCTTTAGCAAGAATGTCAAAAGACAAGTACAATCAAAACTTGTTAACCTAATAGTGGTAAAACGGGTTGAACACCAAGAAAAGTACTCAGGAATGCCAACTCTAATTGGAAGAAACAAAAGCCAATGTTTTGCGGACTTGAAGGATCGACTATGGAAAAGACTGCAAGGTTGGAAAGGAAAATTACTAAGTATAGGAGGAAAAGAAATATTGGACAAAGCGGTGGCCCAGGCAATCCCAAATTATACAATGAGCTGCTTCCTTCTCCCTAACCACTTTTGTGAAGATCTAAATAGAATGATAGCGTCCTTTTGATGGAATAAGGAAGAGGGGGAAAGAAAAATGCATCGGTGTTCTTGGAAGAAGTTGTGCATGTCAAAGGCCAAGGGAGGACTTGGGTTTCGAAACATATATGCATTCAATCTTGGAATGCTAGCAAAGCAAAGGTGGAGGCTGATTTGTGATCCCCAATCATTGGTTACAAAAATACTAAAGGCGAAATACTTCCCAAATGAGCCATTTTTTTAGGCAACTCTATATCCTAGCTCTTCACATTGTTGGAAAAGTATATGTGCAACATGAAATGTAATTAAACTAGGATCACGTTGGCAAGTGGGAGGTCGTACAACCATCCGTATCTAAGAGGACTCATGGATCCCACTCCCCTCATCTTTTCACCCCTTCCCTCCCAAGCCATCAGGGTGTACGTTGAGAACTATCAACGAACTTATCAACCCCATCACACATCGATGGAAGATTGATTTGTTACCATGTATGTTTTCGAAGGAAGAGGAAACCTCAGTTTGTTCCATCCTGTTAAGTATTCGCTAACCACTGGACCACTTAACTTGGCATTATGAGAAACATGGGAGGTTCACAGTGCGCAGTGTGCATACCATCTTGCTTGGAACTGGTTACCACCATCTAACCATTGAGCCTCTTCATCAACCTAGCAGGTAGCAAACAAACTATGGTCTAGTTTGTGGAATGCAAATGTCCTACCAAAGGTTATGGTATGTTTATGGAGGTTGTTTATGGAGGCTCAACAATGATTTCATACCTGCCCGAGCACTTATGGGAAAGTGACATATGTAAAGTCTAGAATTATTGTTTGGCTTTCCTTGTTAAATCTTGTAAATTGTACCATACATGCTTTAGATAGATTTAGGGTTTAATGTCATTTTTGGGATCTTGCGACTGGAAATATTCTTTCAAGAACTTAACATATTACATCAAAGGTTTGTTCATACATATGCATTTCACGTCATTATTTCTAGTTCATTCTCTCTAGTCAATTTCTCGCTATTTTCCAGTTTTCTAGGCACACACATTAAGACAGCCACATGGATCAACTAACACCTTTTTTATGAAAGTGATTTTTATCCCTAGATCTTTCCTGATTGTTTGTGGACATGACACGTGGCTTTTCTGGTCCCTTTCTTGTCTGAAACCTAAAGCCCTTTTTCTAGAGATCATGTTAGGGTTCTTTTGGTTTTTGGGGTTTGAGATTGGAAAACTTTTTGAGAGTTTTATTTTCATCTTCATCTCAGATTTTCTAGGAGCATCAAGCAAATTTTATGGGTAATGTTCTTCATCAAATATTTCTAAATCTATCTTTGAAATTGCTTACTTAAATTCGTTTTATATGCTCATTTGTTTTGGCTAGGAGTTTTACATTTTTAGAAAAGACTTGTTTTTAGCTTTGAGCTATATCTTATGTTCTCACTTGAAAACCATAGCCACAAAATAACACTCATGCACTAAATACCCACATCATTGCATATTAGGGTAGCATTGTTTTTGTGATTTTGATTTCTGTTTTAGGTCAAGTTTTTCCAAGTTTCAAGTCAGTGAACTGACCTAATTTTTAGATTCTCGTCAGTTTCATCTTTCAAGTGTTTGATTGGTGAAACGGACTACACATCGAATCTAGATTTTCATATCATTGCCATATCATCATATGCATAGTTTGTGTGTTGGTCTCGATGCCACAAGGTGAAGATGTCAAGAGGAGCTGCCATCTTATAAAGACTGGAGACAACACCATTTCGGTGCCACAAGGTGAAGAGCTCAGAAGGAGCTACCATTTCGTGAAGATCAAAGGAATCCATCTCGTGTAAGGCAAGGTTGCACAAGGGTAAAGCTACTCTGTAGATATGGATCTAGGAATTGAGCTTGTGTGGTCTTTGTATGAACCCTGATTATACTAGTGGATTGGACTCAATGGAGAGTCCCCGAGTTTTTAACCCAAAGGTGGATTTTTCTAGCCAAAAACTTCCCTATACATAGCATTCTTTATGACCAAATAACCATTGCTAAAGATAAAC